GGTGAGTTAGAGTTTGGGGGTGAGTGAGAGTGAGGGGGTGAGTGAGAGTGAGGGGGTGAGTTAGAGTGTGGGGGTGAGTGAGTGTGGGGGTGAGTTAGAGTGAGGGGGTGAGTTAGAGTGTGGGGTTGAGTTAGAGTGTGGGGGTGAGTTAGAGTGAGGGGGTGAGTAAGAGTGAGGGGGTGAGTTAGAGTGAGGGGGTGAGTGAGAGTGAGGGGGTGAGTGAGAGTGAGGGGGTGAGTTAGAGTGAGGGGGTGAGTTAGGGTGAGGGGGTGAGTTAGAGTGTGGGGGTGAGTTAGAGTGAGGGGGTGAGTTAGGGTGAGGGGGTGAGTTAGAGTGAGGGGGTGAGTGAGAGTGAGGGGGTGAGTGAGAGTGAGGGGGTGAGTAAGAGTGGGGGGGTGAGTGAGAGTGAGGGGGTGAGTAAGAGTGGGGGGGTGAGTGAGAGTGAGGGGGTGAGTTAGAGTGTGGGGGTGAGTGAGTGTGGGGGTGAGTGAGAGTGAAGACGAGTAAAAGTAAGGGGATGGGGGAGGATGTGTGGAAGGTGAGGGATATAGAGTGGTGAGTACGAATTGCGAGGGATGATGTATGGGTGAGGGAGGGTGAGTGGCGAAGTGTGTGGATGAATGTCACTTTGACTTGCTCGCCAGGAACACGAATACCGCCATTTGAAGTCTCAAGCCCGCCTCTCCCCCTCCCTTACCATTACCACCACCCCCTCGCTCAGGAGCGTAAACTCACGATGACGTCTCAACAGCACGATCCATCCTCCAGATTCAGAGCGAGACTCAGAGCCAGACCTAAATCCTAACCCTAACCACAAAATCCTGACATCAGCCTCCTCAGACTCAGTTCTCAGTCCCCACCTCCAACCCAAACCCAAACCCAAGCCCAGACCGCAATCCAAAACAGTGACCCCCTTCCTCAAATACAAAGCCCGAACCCATACCAGACCTTAACCCGAACCCAAAATCCAGATTGCGACCAAACCCATAAACCCTCGACCCCCAATCCAGACGCCAATCCTGACATCAGCGCAATCTCCAGCAGTCTCCCTTCCCCGAGGGAGGAGCTGGAGTCGCGAGTCAAGCGAGGATGGAGATGGATGAGTCCAGCAGATTAAAGAAGAGGCTCAGCTCGCGCCTTCTCCCGCTATTCCGACGCCAATCCTGACCCCCCCCCCCCCCCCCCCCACTTTGGGGGAGAGGGGGGTGAAGGAGAGGGGGGGAGAGAGAGGGGGGGGGCAGATGTCGAGGCCCGTGCCTCGCACATCTGGATGTTCATTGTTCATTCATTTCACGTCCAGCAAGAAGGGTGAGTGAGTGGGGGGGGGGGAGAAGGGGAGGGAGGTGAATGTGGGGCTTGGGGATATCCGCGCTGAAGTTGCCTTGAGTAGGAAACACGGCAAATCCAACGAACAGCGAACTTTAGATTGTAAAGAACGGTGGTGGTGGTGGTGGTGATGATCATCACGAGACCAGTGTACCTCGTGGCGGTCGCGTGTGAGTAACCTGCCCTGTCGTGTGCGTGAAGCGGTGGCGTCGAGGAGGGACGGAGATACGGTTACGCAGCCAGAACCCCGGCCACCCGAGTTAGACTCCCAACCATCGCTAACAGTGGGATGAGTGCAGTGCCGGATCAAGCTAGTGCGGGGCCTGTAGCATATGTTATAAAGGGGTCCTAAATAAATCAATAAAAAAACACGTAAATATTAAAAGACATAAATGTTTAACTTGCCTAGTAAAGTCATTGCATTTTTTTTATTTGCTTTACAGCCAGATAATACGACAAATCGCTAACCTTAAACACTCAGTCGTTCGTAAAAGTTGAAGGCAGTATAGTACTATAGTAATAGAGGAAGTTCAGAATCGCTGAACCGGAATTGTTATCTTGAAAGCATTTAGCGCGGGGCCCTTGAAAGTGCGGGGCCCGTAGCTACTACATATGTAGCTAGTCTTGATATTAGGATTATCTGGCACTGGATGAGTGACATCTGAACCAGTCCTGGTGCCGCCTCAAGGTTGACTCAGCCTTAAATTAGTTCACTGTAAACATCAACACCGGCCACAACACCGCCCTCTCGTGCGCCGTGCTGGCCTTAATAAAGCGCTTGTTGCTAACAGCACAGGACGGCACTTGTCCTGATTAATAGTTGTCTAAGTCAAGTGGACGGCATCGCGTGCAAATTGTGTCAAGCGTTGGGCTGTGGATGTCACTCTTCGCTTGGTCTCGTCGCCCAAAGCAACTCGAATATCGAGTCCACTCTTAGTTATTAAACACATTCGTAAATCACACAGACCTCAAAAGGGGGAGAGACAAAATAAAAATAAAACATGCAAGAGACAACATTTTGGGAGATGGCCCCTTTCTTTCATGTAGCACATAACATAGGCCAGAGAGGTAGAGTGGATAGTAAGATGATGACAAATACAAAAAAAACATAGGCTTCACCTTTTCCGGCAATAATACAGGAGGTATATTCTTGGTTCTTTCGGTATCAAGGCATCAATTCGGAATTCACCACACACGCTCGTGGTAAGATATACAAAAGAAACAATGCAAATATTATCATCTTTGCATTGTCCTTGAAACCGATTGTCCTTCACCAGCGACAGCTTCCCGTCGGGCCTCGTTTGACAATTGTTATACCGGCAAAAAGGCCCCCCCCCCCCCATAAACAGAACGTACGACTTGGAGGCAATTGTTAAATGTGTTTGTGCACCACTACCAACGTAGCAGCCGCAGCCGAATCAAATTATGTTTCATATTCAGTTAAAAAAAAATTGGCGTAAGGGAGCGCGCAATTGCCTCCCACCCACATCACACCCCGACCCCTAATCAGTGAGAACTCCGTAAATAGTTGCGTACAGACTAGCAGCCAATTACCATGTATGGTCTCCCTCGGTGCAATGCAGTGCGTTTCAAAACGCGACGAGATATTTGACGAGTCTGCGTCTTCACTCGAGTCGATGTCGTCACCCTTTGTGTTATTCATCCACTCATTGTCATTGTTGACAGATTCAATGAAAACAAATTCCGACGACTAGTTTAAGTTGGTAATTTCGCTAAGTTAACACCGCCCAAGAGGCGAATTCGGCTACGCGGGATACCTCTCTCTTCTCTGTTGAGTTTGTATGAATGTTTTACTTATTTTATTTGTGATACTGGAAGTTATTTTTTTTTCCTCCAGAGATCAAATGAAAGGTACAAAGGCAAATATTTCCCCCCCCCCCCCCCGCGCACATAGAGCCTACAGACTGTTGGGGAAAATGCTACACGAGAGGACCTATATTGAACGACACGGCACACGAGGTGGTGTGGTCAGAACCACACTCGGGCACCTTTCAATCCCCAGTGCTGATATTCACCCACGTACCAGGTAAAAATGTTAGGTCTATTCGACTTCGGAGAAGCCCAACACCGGTTCCCATATTTGCCACTGGTCTTGGCTGTGAGCGGGAATCGAAATTAAGTGCCGCTCCATCGAGAGGTAAAGAACGCACTTCAAAGACCCCCCAAATCACCCCGAATGCGTCCGATAGTCACACATCAGACGCTGAACAAGTGGGGAGCCTGGCAAGCCTTGGTTAGACTGTCTAGGAATACCAGAAGTTGTAAGCTTGTGGGCCGAGGTGGTCAGAAGATGGCAGTACACCAATTAATTCTTGACTCTATCTGTGCGGATATTTGAGTGGTATCCCCTCGTTCGCGTGGTGGGATTTGACCAAACATCCCAATGAGGCAGGACCCTCCCGAACGAGATATTTAAGACTCTGTGGGGCTTGTCTGGGTAAATTTCATGGCACGACATGCATACACATTCAGATATGAAGATATACAGGCCATACTACCACATACATTACACGTACAAAATTTCACACAACAGTCGCCATTCGCCACTTTGTGACGTGACCACGGTGCCTGTGCCAGGCCAGGCGAGGTGCACTGAGGCCACGTGAAGTGTCGAAGGCTAGCTGACAGGTCACGGGACCCACCCAAGTGCCAGGGGTTGACGGAGATGACTGGCAGATGCACCAGATCTCACACACATACACGCACATTTATTTTTAGAGGTTCATAAAAATGTTTGTTTTACCGTTACAGATGAAAGATCATGACATTTCCGCCGACTGGCCTTCTTTAGGAATAATTAGCCTGTTATTTTGGTTCCAAGTTCACGGAGGTGGCAACTTGATAGCTTCCTTTACACACGGCACACACGCGAACGAAATATTTTTTACAGAACAAAAATAATTGCGGTACGTGCGTGTGCCTGTGCTGCCTCTAATTCAATTGCTACCCCAACCCCCGCACCACAACCACCCTCGTTTCGCGCGGAGGTAAAGGCACCACTAAATTACTACTCAACCACCCAAATTATTCACTCATCTGCTTACCCACCTTCCCCAATCACTCACTCACTGTTCCATCCACTCAAGTTTAAATACGGTTGTCATATTTGGGGTCAAGCACCCGTTTCCTGTCACACTGTATTGATATAATTTACTGTAGAGCAGTCGGGTTGACTGATGATCAAGCACGCGTCAATCATCCGTTACTCACTCACAGGCAGTCAGTCACCTCCTTATGACGCTTCTATAGCTACCACCATGGTTACTATTCCCAGGAACTTCACGTCAGAATCAGAATGTATTTACTGGAGGAATCCGATGAGCTATAAAGATATTTTTCACAGATATCCAGTAGATTCATTCACATATGTTGAGGACTCACTCTACTGGATTGACTGGTTCATCTCATTTATATTGCACTGGTCAACTTTGTAATGCCATCACATCGTCTCTTTTCCCATGTTTTTACAACCCTGCTCAATTCAAGAAATGTATTAAATCTCATACCTTAAAGGGTGCTATTTGTTGCTGGCCGCTTGGCATTTTGGGCTTTTGGTCCTTTGCTCAGCAACAGTGAAAACAATTTACTACGTGCCATATGTAAAAAAACGCAGTCCAATTCAATGAAAAATAAACTCATTGCCTGTGCAGACATTCTATCAAAATGTTATGACTTTATTAATGCACACATTCACATACACACATCCTTTCATGAACAGATACAAGATTGCCAGGCCTCGAGTGGAGCAGAGAAATGTCGCATTCACTGTAAAACATATGTTTCTCCATCCTACTATGGTGCTATAGCTTGGTGCTTTGAGCCTTAGAGGGTTTAAGTCATGTACATTGAATTCCACCAACTTCATACATCCGAGCGAGATGTGGAATAACGTCTGTTCAACTCTCAAGACACGACGAGACTTGACACAGGCAGCAATCGCTCGCAACTATCCTGGGGTTTGGTCTGGCACTGACGCGACTCTCAAACCAAGGGCCCTTTTAAGCCACTCATGGCCAGCAATTAACATTCTTGTCACAATTCCGGCCAAACGGAATCTAAATCAGGGGTTACGTGTGGCTATTTCAGGACAAGTTCTGCCCTGAAAGCTGCTCGTCCCTCCTCACTTACCTTTTAAGTTGCAATAATGCGACTTAAAAGGTAAGTGGGCAGCAACACAGCGTCGGTCCACTGGCAAAACACCTCCACAGTATTCACAAACAGCAGCCGATGAACAGATCCCGAAACTAAAAGCCTTGAACTTGAAGAAAGAGCTGGTGAGGGCCACGGGATCGAGTGGCTGTTGCTAGGAGGGCTCCTGCCCATACTCGAGGTGTCCAACGGGTTTCGCAATGGATTGGTCACTCAGCCTCCGAGTTCCACCCACCCGATGCCAGTTGTGCCAGCGTCCTTTATTGGATCGTAACTGTTGGCCAAGATATGACGGTGAAACAAACCCCTTAAAATAAAAAACTTAAAAAAACGCATACATTCCTGATGCTAAAGCTAATGCGTCGGAGCACATGGATTTGTTTTTTCTATTTTATTTTATTCCTGGCATGCGCGTGCATATTAATTTTTACAATTTAGTGCATTTGGAAAAACTGCAGAGATTTAAATGAATTAATGTCATATTTATATTCTCGGTTCTTTCCACAGCAAGAAAATTTTCTTGCTGTGGTGTTCACACCTGATGATGATTGCTTGTGTTGCAGTCGAAACGTGGTGAGAATTTTATTGTTTTATTATTTTGTTTCCCTTCTACGTGACTTTACCGAAAGAACCAAGAATATGAATCCCTGCAGTCACGAAAGCTTTAAATCACGTCATATTTGTGCGTCTCGCCAAACCCCGACTCAAAGCGGCTGCATCCCTGAGTTTGTGCGACAACCGCCACCTTTTCAAACCGCGGTTGCGCATTTGCCAACAGAGCAAACTACCATGCCGTTTGGCTATGCGACCAAATCGCCACGGCTCTTGCGCTGGATTTATATGTTGCACAAGTTTAGGCGCCACTGTCATTGACGCCACATATGCTTGACGCAAGGTCTCCCTCTCTCTCTTGCCCGGGACCTTGTGTGGCTTCTAATCTGGATGATGCACAGCATTCCCAATCCCCGACTAAAATAAAATAACAGAATCGAATATACAAAACGATAATTCAGCAGAGTCGTGTGGGCTGAATCACAGGAAAGCAACATTGGTGTGGGTGCAAATGGAGGGCCTATGGTCGAGTAGCTGTGGTGACATTCTCTTAAATGAGTCACTTAAAGAAAAGCAGAAATTCGTTGAGAATCGTGCACTAAAATCAACGTAACAGTCATTGTGCACATGTGCGATACCGTGCCCATACGTAGCAGCATCAGTGTTGTAGTGTCAGCAGTTTTGTTTAATTGTTTTCTGTGCGCACTCGACAAGTGAATGGTAGTGCTAAACATGGACGCATTATCTGAAGCAACACTGAAATCCATCGCTTGTGAGCATAACTGGTGCCAATGGGAACGCACGGAAGTTCAACACTATTTTAATAAAAGGCCTTGTGTTTCAGTTTAGTGAATGTACCTTTGTATTTTTTACTTAAGACTTGCCACACCAGCAAACGAGCAAACTTGCCAAAAAAAACGCTAGATTCTGCTTTCAGAAAAAAAATCCTAAAAATTCCCGCTGGCCTAGACCATGAAGCCATAGACGATTCCAGTGGTCGTTAACGACAAAAGTGAAGATCTTCAAACTGTGGATGTCCTGAAGTAAAGATCTTCAAACTGTGGATGTCCTTCATTCAAGGTCACTCTCCTTGTGCAAATTCCAACCGACTGCTCGCTCCACCGCTTCGCTAAGAGCAGGATCTTGCTCAGATTTCCAACAATCGCAGACTTCAGTCTCGTCGATTTTTCTGATGCAGTTTTTGGGCAACGTTGATGGCAGCGGCAGGCACTGGACGCACCACGGCGAAGCAGAGGTGAACGTGGTAGTGGCGTTGGTGGTGGCGGCGGCGGCGACGGTGGCTATGGGTGTACCCACAGCGCCGTGGCTGTATGGCTGTGGCGCCAGTAGTACTGGTGGTGTCGATGATTGGAGGCATGGGCTCATGCGCCCCATCACGGGGATGCACCGACGGTGATGGCGGGTGGGTCATCACACTGCACGACGTGCAGCTCGACAGAGAAGAGCTGGGCCCAGGGCTTGCGCAGCGCACTCAGCAAGCCCTCGGCCAAAACCGCAGCCCCCACTCGCAGATGCCACACACGATCCTCGCGCGTGTCCTGCCAAAAGATATCCACAACATTTTTTGAGCAACGTACGTAAAGCACACACAATTAACATGTTATGAGTGCCTCCCCACATAATGTATGCAAGATGCGTCGTTAGAATCATTAAGAGAAAAAAAAAGGCAGAATTTGCCGATGCAAACTAAAATGTACGAATTAAGGCTTTTAATTCAAGATGTCTTGAGATGCAATCAGCATGTATACTGATTAATTGCATCTTTGTTCGTAGAGTCCGTAAAATGCAGGACGAATCTTAAAGGATGTAACAATTTTGTCGAAGATTTCTTAATGAGAAGCAAAGCACTGAGTCATGGTAAGGCACGCTCGAGTGACAATCTCACCCTGCCGTCATTGCAATGCTTTATGACGACATGCTCACGTTAAATCCAGGGGTAAGAGAGGAAAATGTACACGAGACAAAACAGAGTTAAAATGTAAAATGAGATGGTGTAATAATTTTTAACAATTTAGTGCATTTGGAGAAACTGATTTCAATGAATTACAAAAATGAACAATCATTTCCGCACCTCCGATTAGCACAGATGGCTACGTATGGTGCGAAAGAAGTTGAACATACAAATGTAATCAAGACAATTCTTCGATACAATCGCAATGGGGACACTTTAATTAATTGCAAGGGGTGCAAATGTAATGTAACACTGGTTTAAGAATCAATATTTTAAAACCCTGTGATGAATGTAGCATGTGGTGGCTGCAGGCATCATGTGAACCAATCCATGTAGAACTTATATCAGAAGGGAATGTATTCCTTACTTGGTATCAAATAGGAGATTGAATACCTTTGGCTGGGTCACACACATTGACACACGCCTCGGTAATTTCTGCCGCTGCGAGAGGCCCGTGCAAACACAGACGCAATTGAGCACAATAAAAATAAAAAAATAAACTGTGTTGCCAGGTTGAAAATATCATATTACAAACGATCAGTTCAGTTAGGCTCTCGCAGCGACGGAAATGTATCTATTGTGGGCCGTTTTGAAGTAGTGTCTCTCATGTGGCCAGAGGTCATAGGCAATGCATACGGTCCCACGGATCATAGGCTCCCCCCATCCTTGACCCGTACGAAATGACAACCATCGATTCTTACGCGCACGAGATACAACGTGCGCATAAGCGAGCACAATCAACGTGATTTAACGACGTGGACGGGTAACGATCGGTGCCCTCCCTCACCTCGTCGTGGAAGAGCAACGCCAGGTGGCAGGGCGCGGCGCGGTAGAGACGCACGCTGGCCAGGTTCTCCAGCGGCTGCTGCTCCAGCAGGGAGAACCTGTCCCGTGTGACGCCGTCAGCGCTGCTGCCTGCCCCCCCTCCCTCCTCTGCCTCGCAGGTGCTGCCCCGCCGGTGGTCCTCCTGCAGAAGGTAGAGGTTGTCCCGCGTCGTCACCAAAGTTGCCGGCTTGGGGGTGCCGCGCTCCTCTACACAGACGGTGGCGGTCAAGAAGAGAAAAAGACAGACACATTTTTGCACGTGCTGAGAAATAACATTGTCGAAATGAAAAGCTATTGCACAGATGAGAAAAATCACAGGTATCTCAACGGTGGAGCCTGCGGGACCATACCTGACCCTTTGAGCGGAAACTCAAAGCGAGCGGCTGAAAGGAACAATGCGGCTCACACGTGGACACAAACACAGCGCCCGACTGTACGGGGTCCAAAACAACGTTCACTCGTTCTGGTGTGAAAATAAAAAACATCGTTTGAAATTGCACAGGAACTCAAAACATTAGTGGGGAAAGTCAGATGGCAATGCACAAGTTGCTGGCTGGGGAAGAGTATTGGGTGAAGGGGTGAGCAGGTAGACAAGTAGGTGAAAGGATGAATGAGTGAATATGCGGAACAATGGAAGAGTGAATGCATGAGTGGTTGAGCAATGAGTGTGCGAGTAAGTGCATGAATGAGAGATCAAGCAAGTACGTTCGTGGCTATGCAGGTCAGTTATTGGCTGGATGAATTGGTGAGAAAGTGAATTAGTAACAGGGTGAGTTTGAGCAAATTAGAAGGCTAATTTGTGGGTTAGCAGGTGAGAGGTAAGTGAATGGTTAAGTAAGTCACTAAGCAGGTGAGAGGGTGAGTGTATGGGCAAGCCAGTTGGCAACATAACTTCCACAACAATTGGGCCACATGTTACTCAACCCCGTTCATCAAGCGCTCCCACCCGTCCCTCGTCACACGCACTTATGCCAAACACGTCGAGGCATTGGCCATTATTTTACAACGCTGCACCAGAACTATTTAAAATGACCCCCTCCACCAACAACAACAACCACCCCAGCACTTTTAAACCCGCGTGGGACCGATAATCCATTAGTACAAATGCAAAGCTTCAACATACGGATAAAATATATGCCTGGCGTCCGCGCTAACATGGCTCCTATGCTACGATCGCAGGTGAAACGCTTGGCAAGCGCTGCCGCAGGGCGAACGGCAGCCAAGGGCAGCCCGTGAGAGGGGGCTCAGCGGTTTCAGAAACTGTGTGCGCAAAAGGGAATGTGGATTTTTTTTTATTGAAAAATCCAGGGCTGATGAACTGTGGCAGTTCGCCTGTTTTATGAGTCCGGCATTAATTGAGCCCCCAGCCTGCGGGTGACTCAAACGCATAAAAGTGGTCGCCAGTAGATCCCACCACCAAGACCTGGCTCATTAACAAGGAGAACTGGGATAAATGCACAAATCAATGCTCCCCAAAGGTTGTTGGATTCCACAATCCCCGCTTTAAGAGGCCAGTGTCTTTTTCCCCTTTGGCCAACGCGGTGATTAATTTCCTGGAACACAATTTTTCTGTTCCTTCTGTGGCAATTATTTGGGCAGTTTGTGTTTAACAACTGCATAAATAAGAGTCGTAAACAAGCGTCAGGCACGGATTGCCGAATGATTGTACAGCTCCTATACGCAAGTGATGCACGGTGGTCGTGTCGGATCGACCCCGGGACGTCGGGAACGTGTGGATATTGGCCACCGCCAACGAGCGAAGCTCAAATTGTTTGGAATTTTGCTTTTTTTTTCTTCCTTGTTCTGTGTTTTTCGAAAACAGACCACGGGGGCACGGGGGTGAGCCGCAAGTAGCCAGCGCTCGGCAAATGCCGAAAAACACTCTCCCGGCACGAAGCCCAACATTGAGCGGTGCCCGCGGGGGGCAGCCGATGGCAGGGCAGAGCGCATCCCGTGATTAAACACTTCGCAAATATCATGTCGTGGAGGGGATGGCAATGGGAGGGAAAGAAAATAATCCTCGAGGCCAAACGCTCAGTCGTCAGAAGCAGTTCCCCCGGCCTCCCCTTGAGGTTGAACGGTCGGGCGCTGCTCGCCGGAGCCGAGGGCGTGTTGCACTTGCGGTGCTCCCGCCAGCTGGGCTTTGCGTGCGACTCTGCATTTGTGTGCGGAGCTCGCCTAAGAGTATGAACGTCAATTTTAAATAAATAAAACAGAACCGATTACAATAGTTAAATTACAGCCTTGCAATTACTTGTTCACGCCACTGCGGAAGGGCCTCCAATAATGGGAGTTCTACAGAAGTCTGGGAAGAGGTGAGAGTACCCACACAATTTTAACCCGACCACACGCAACCTGTCGAATTGTAGTGTATCCATGTATACTGCTGTGTGGATAGATGTGGGTATATAACAGAAATAAAAGGGCGAGCCGTTCTAATGACCCTCTCAATTCTTCTCGACAGGCGATTGAAAATTAGGAAAGCTCCATATATGAGAGGACCGGAGAAGTAAGGTGCTGGCATCGATGGAGATTGATGGATATGCAACATCCAGGAGAAATTAAAAAGTTATTTACTCTATCATTTCTCCCTATTGCTTTTGCGGGGTATCTACAAACGGATCACCCAGTGTTTCCAGGAGAAACTTAACTGAGCATGTTTTCTATGAAGGTTCCTGTTTGGGTAGTAAAATCGATCGAATTTGAGCAAGCAGGAGAAAAATGAGAGTGTATGCGAGGGGAGAACACTGCATCTCCACAAACACGCACTGAGCCCATCAGATACCTACTTGCTGAACTGCACCCTATACAAAACAATACAAAACTCAAGCACGTGAGCGTGTGACCGTGCGAGTTTGTACGAGTGCTGGCGAGTGCATGCGTGCGAGTGTGTACATATTTGTTGATGTATCTTTGTATGGAAGTGCACGTGTTTATGCGCCAATTTTTGCTTGTGTTTAAATACCAATCAACATCAGTGAGTACATGGTATGGTGTGTACACACCCATTGCCTCGTGTGTGCCGTGCCAGCCTAACAGGTGCTCACTAACAGCACTTGCCCCCATAGTCTGTTAAAGGCTATACAGGGGAATTTCGCCTTTGGCGTGTCCACAGCAGCGTGCACACCTTTGTATGCGAGAATACGTGTGTGCGCACTTTTGCATGTACTCTGCAGCGTGCATTGATGGTCACACCTCGTAGGACAAACGCCAGCAGGTAGACGCCTCCGCTCGGCGCCTGGTCTCCCAGAAGCACGTCTGCGCCCGCCTCCCACTGGGACATGATCCGCCTTGACCGACATAACAGCACACAGAGAGACGATCCTCGTTAGCCGTCGCGCCAGCCGCAAACACGAGGGCTGAATTCCCCTTCTATTTATTGTTATGGTTACTCTTTACTTGCATTTGTCAATCTAGTTTTGGATGAAAGCTCCACCAGGTCGTATCGGTCATGGGGGTTGACTCTACTTCACCACTCCGGTCGGTACGGGTTGGTGAAGGGTGGGGTGGGGAGGAGAGATCCAGGACTTGTTCAGACATTACTCACCACTGATGTTATCCGTCGCCGAGAATTGCACTCAAGTTGCTGGGTTTAAAGCACAAAGGTAGAACCGCTGCGCCACGACACAGCTCCTTCCTTATTTTATTTGTCGTTATTTAAAAAAAAAAGATTGTACATTTACCCCAGATTATATTCCAATTGCGCTATCGGCAACAAGTCCCGGAACTCAATTTCCATTCAGAAAACAGTGCAGCACCTTGCATTGAATAATGGCCCAGGAAAGCGGCATCACATAACTGCTTCTGAACACCGTTAAATGGGCCTCTTTATCCACCCTTGCGACACACCTTTTATATGCCCAGCAAAGGGCTGTTATGTCAATCAAAACAACAAATGTTTAATAAAATTGTGAAAACCCAAATTTAATGGGGTGATTTTTGTATAGCCATTGGTAACTGGGCTGAGACCATCAACTCCAATTATAAGACTCGTTGGAATGTGGGTTTCAGCCACGAGATTCCATGGATGGCTGAAACCTATGATTATAATTATAACCATAATCACGGGTGGCTGAAACTCAGATTCCCATTCAGGGATCTTAGCAATTCCGACTCAAGTTCTTCAACCACTAACCTACCCAACCACCTCGATGACAGATGATTAACAAGTAATTTCCGAGCATAAATGATTGGGCACTTCAAAGAGATCATTTAAGTTAACACACTACAGCAAAATAAAAACAATACAATGGCAAGTCTCAAATACCAGTATTTACTTTTGGAGTGACGCAGTACCCACTTTGTACCTTTGTTCAATCAACATGTGCCGTGCCATAAAAATGAGTGTTTAATGTCTAAAGGAAATGGCCCTGTTTCCCACCGCGTCTGTTTGCAGGCGGAACAACTTTCCCCGCGGCCAAACGAAATTATCGACAATTCCAGTGGCTGTCGGCACAGATCGGCAAAATGTGCATCAGAGCGCAAATGCGGCAGCGGCAAAATGTGGAAAAATGTTGTGGAAATCTAAAATGGGGGACAAAGAAAATAACTAAAATAGCTGCTTAAATTATAAACAACTGAACCAATTTTTTTATTAAACACTCGATTCCATTTCTGGCAGCTGGAAAAATCAACAAATGTGCACATAGTTGGCAGAGTAACAAACAAGCAGATGAAAACAGGAAACAATGATTCAAAAGTGAAGCTTGCTAATGAGGACAGAGACACGCAAAGGGCTGCAGGGTTCGATTCGGTTCAGTTCGTCTCCGCGTCACGAATGCCTGGATTATGTGTGTGCGCAAAAACACAAAGGAGCCACTTAGGAAGCAAAATAGGTGACGTTATTAAGCAAAGAGAAGTGTGTTTGCACACGCTCATGTGTGCGTACATCTGCACGCGTGTGTCCACGTGTTTGTAAGTTTGTGTCTTTGTGCGTCCATACGCGGTTTGCTCTTGCACAAGTGTGTATACGCACACCTCTGTTCGCTTGTGCCCACGTGGCACGTCTGCATGCATGCGCAGGTACGTGTGTGCGCGTGTGTACGTATATACGTGCGTAATCGTGCATGTCTCGTCTCGACGTGCGTGCGAGTGCCTGCGTGTATATACGTGCGTGCGCCGACACGTGTACCGTGCGTGCGTGCGGGATTGCGTGGAGAGTGTCTGGCGGGGGGGGGGGGTGCTGGCAACACGTGCCGAGGGGCGTGCGGGGAGCGAGCGTGGGACACGTGTTAGTGCTTACTCCGCTGGCAGGCGGCGAGCCTTCCAATCGGCACATTCCTACCAAGCCCCGCGCGGTCATAAACCCCCCCTGCGGACCCACCGGCCCCAGCCCCCTGGCGACCCTCCCCACCTCGCGCGCGAGATCGCACAGCGAGCGTGCGCGTCACACGATCGGTTCGCAATCAAAGGCGGCCAGGGATACCAGCATTTTTTTTGTTCAATCAATTGAAATTGTGTTATTCCATTTGTTGGTTCATATTCATTTACGCTTAATAGTTTATTTGAAATTGCAATTGAAGTCTTATATGTGGGTTAAATTGCCAAGAGATTATCATTTTCACAGACAAGCCAAAAGTCCCATTAATCCATGGGGTTTGGATGTCATTTTTACGAAAGCCGCTCACTTAAATTTGAATCGAGTACAGCGATTGAGATTTGTGATTACAACAGTATGGAGTCATCACTGCACACCCGCTGCCTCAATCACACGCCGTCTTAACCAAGTCCGACTACCATGGTGGGCTTGCTTTCCTCGTGTACATCCGGCTGTGCTCCACTGGGCCACATCCAGCTGTGTTCCCTGTGCCACATCTGGATGTACTCCCTGTGCCCCATTCAAATGCGTTCCCTGTGTCACATTCGGCTGTGTTCCTAGTGCCGTGCCTGTGCTGCCACGTTTGAGTTGCTGTTCCCAGTGCCACTGTTGGTACCGACCTGAGGCTGTGCTGGCTGGAGAGCGAGGCACGGGCGATGGCGCGGGGCAGACCGCCGTCCCGCCACGAGGGCACCTCGGCCATTCTTTCTGCAAAATATCATAAAAAAAACGTTCCTCTTATATTAACAATTACTGTTACATCACTTTAACATAACACTTTATGGTGAATACTAATAAAGTCCCTGAGAGTTTTAATGACCAAACGAATTAAACAATTGTATTTAATTTTGATTTAAAGCTTTCGTGACTGCAGGGATTCATATTCTTGGTTCTTTTGGTAAAGTCACATTTCAGTTGCTGTTCCATCCATCCCAGAAGAATTCCCTCATCAAGACTCTGCATCATAGAGCCCAATGCATATCCGACCAGGAACACATATCCAGTGAACTCAAGCATGTACACCAAGCTCTTAAGGCTAATGGTTACTCCGACTATACAATCCGCAATGCTATCACTCCAACCATGTGGAAGGACCCTCTTGAGGAGCTTTTCAAAACCATCACTTTACCCTACATTGCGAGGATCACAAAAAAGATCTCCAAAATCTTGAATAAACACAAGATCCAGGTCCTATTCAACACATTACATAAAATCCGTGATCTGGTTCCGTCTGTAAAAAATGTGATTCCGGACATACAGTACCCTGGCGTCTACAAACTAAGTTGCCTCTGTGGTAGTAGTTACATTGGAGAAACCAAACGACATGTCTCGGACCGCATTCGTGAACACAAAGCAGACCTAAAACACGGTAGGACCAACACCTCGGCCGTGGCAGATCACTGTTATAATTCAGTAGGCTCACATGACATTGACTTCTCCAAGACAGAGGTTATCTGCAAGCCATCTGGCTACCATGAGAGATGCGTTCATGAGGCTATCCACATATACAAACACACAGACAATTTAAACCGAGAAGATGGATTCTGGCTTAGCAATCATTGGAAGGATTTGATAAACCATTTCGAGTCTTAATTGATTGTTCACGCTTACGGTGGCTTTCAGACCGCATCCATTATTTTCGTCTCCCCCCTCCTCTTTTCCGAACATAGATGGACTCGTCCATCTGAATAACTGCCAAATCGCTCTCCGTGGTGCTAACATTAAAAAAACGCCACTTTTTTCAAATTTTCTTGCTGTGGTTTTCACACCTGATGATGATTGCTTGTGTTGCAGTCGAAACATCGTGAGAATTTTATTGTTTAATATTTTTATTATTTTATTGTTTCCCTTCTACGTGACTTTACCGAAATAACCAAATATATCATTGTATTTAATGTTAAAACACTCAAATTATATGTTTTATTGTGTAATATTAAATATTATTATGCCCTTTTCTATTACTGACGTGCATATGGGAGGAAGATATGTACTGGATAATTTCCATGCAAATGAGGGCATAACACTCAAAGCTCCGCATAGACAGATTCAATCCATCGCTGTGCTACCATCTGCTGGCCACCTCGCAGCCACAAGCCTACAACACCTGATATTCCCAGACAGCCTACCAATGCAAGTACTAGCCAGCCTCAAACCTGCTTAGCTTCCAATCAATGCAATAAATGAAGAAATCAAGCACATTCAGGTTGATTTTAACAAGGGCAAACGCACCTTAACAAATAACAGAGACCTGGCACATGTTCTCTCCTAAGGCAGAATTATCAGATGATGTGCACACATGTGAGCATTTGCGCATGCACGCATGCATGCATCCTGCTTGCGAGGCCGCGGACAAGGCTCGGCGGGTGAGTGTGACCCGTCAGCTGTGCCGGGGTTTACCGTTTCATCGTGACAAAGCGAACGTACCATTCAGGAGTCCCACGAACGCCTCGCATTTCTTTGGATCGCGCACCATCACGGTGATCCCAGGCGGCTCAGGCGGAGATGGCGACGGTCCTCCCGGCTGTTCCGTCGTCTTGGCCGTTCTGGGCGAGTCGAACTCAATCCGGAAGCTCTGGGCCCCGAGCCCGACCTCCAACCTCTGCATCTGCGAGAGGCGGCGCGTCGCCAGCACGTGCAGCCACTGCGAAGGATCCTCCACACTGCACATGTGACCGGGCAGGGCAATTAGTAAGGTGACCCCTGTTCTGTACCGCCACATGAAAACAAAACATTATCGTAGTCTGTTGGTCAACTGGCCTTATAACGGTGTATTATAATAATTGTATGAGTGCTTTTCCAATTCATAGTTACATGAAGGCTACCTAATGCCTTCTGTTACGTTTCCCAGTAGGACTGGTTTAAGCAAAAAATTGGTGAGTCGTTCTATCCCTACTCAAAAGTGATCAGTTCAGTGTGTTTGATTTACTGGTGACACATGATGCGTGGATCAATACATATTCTTAAGCTCACTATATTGTATTGAATTGTACGTGTAAACATCACATTTTGCATGTAATGGGCTCAAGTGACCTCTGCAACCAATGGAGGCTGTTACATCCATCACGTTTACAAGAATAATTCTCGATTCCAATGTTGAAAATTAATCAAATTGCTATCGGGGTACAGGGGTTTAATCGATACATCTCTGTATTGAATGCTATTTCCAGCGTGCTTCTGTAAATATCAGTGATGATCAGTTACCAAGCAGTAGTGCAGAAATGAGATGCAGCAGCTGGCTCGCACATGGAGGACACGAGACTCGGGCCATCACAAGGGGTCACGCACAGGAAGGCACTCGAGACAGAGGTATGTTTTATTGCTGCGTAAGAGCATGCAGCATTGAAGTTCAAGCACTTTCTGTTCTCACACTTTGCCACGGAAAATTGCCTGGAATGTTAAGATGAAGTTACGTGATTTGTATCTGAATTCACATGGAATTTAGATGACGTTAATTATTCCATTTGCACGACCGTGTTTGGGTTTTACATTCTCGAGTGAGGTCCGATGTAAACGAGATTGTTGTAATGATCTGGGAACATGGGCTGTAGGTTGTGCTGTATCCGTCGCATCGTCTGTAGGTGTGTGCAGTACCTGGTGTCGCCCTTGAGCTCCAGCACATAAAGGCTGAGGTTCGATATGACGAGGAAGGAGGGAATCTCTTCTGGACGATCCCACACCACCGCTGGCGCCTGCAGAGAAAAATCAATACATTGCCAATATGATAACAGACATCAACATCACCTTACCATTGGAAACATTACCATCATAATAAACAATCACTCTTACCACCATTATCAACACCCCCATTAAATCACCTTTCTTCCCACCATCAACACCAACTTCGTGGTGCATGTTGGGAGCTAGCACTACAGCGAAATCAATAAACACAGTGCATGCTGGGAAACTTCAAATGCCTGAGAGCAGTGCTTGATCCTAGAGCTGAGAAGCCACGGATTAAAAAGGTGAATTGACACGTTCCTATCTACAGGAGCAGATTTACCCTGCCGCACTACCTTGAATGGATGTTGTTTTGATAATAAAATCAAATGTACCCAATTGATGGAGAACCTCCAATAACTTGCCCTGATCTATCTCTACCCTCTCATCTTACTCTACTCCGCAGCACATACTCTTTTGCTCCAACAAGCAAGGCCTCCTTTTGAAGTACCCCATTAATATTTGCACATTTTCTTGTACTGCCCCCCCCCCCCCCCCCCCCCCCATAATCTGAACCCCCTTTCCCCCCAGCCATCCATCCATCCATGCTGTGAACTTCTTGATCCTGTTTAAGTCCAGGCTAGAGACATTCATCTTCTCTTTTGCCCTTGTCTCTTCTCTCTAAAAATCTACACTACATATGCACATGTACAGCACTGTCAATCCACTGATGGATGAGGGCCTCCCCACACAGTGTGGATCGGGGGTGATATTTGACCATACTTCCCCATGCTGGTCAGTGCGTGAAGGTGGAAAGTAAAGATATTGGAGTATGGTACAGGACAACAATGGATTTCTCTGCACTATATATACACACATCTATTTCTTTCCATGACTCATACGTTTCACTATTTTGTACAGCCTCTTTAAATGTGGTTGCATTTAGAGACGTATATGGAGGTTATATAAATACAAATTGTGTTGTATTTTTTGGGCTACAAATTAATTGAACCACAATGGGATACGAGGGGTGGCACGCCGGGAGACGTGACACGAGGCTGGGACATGTGGCACGATGGGAGGACGTGGCACGCTTGGAGACATGGCACGAGGCCGGGAGCAAACGGCGTCTCCTGCTGCTCCCTCTGCTTGTCGCTTTCCCGAAAACGTGACTCTGTGCGCTTTCTAGTCTCACAGCGAGCTCCGTTTTCTGCCTAGCTCACCCGCTGCGCCCTTCCAGCCGCTCGCAGCAGCAGAAAAAAGGAAAACACAAAACAGACACATGCAATTTCAGCAGTTCTTTGCATCAGGGTCTGTACCGCCAACCGACTTAAAACTCACTTCACCCCCACCGAGTGGCCCGGAAATTTGAATCCAGGGTGTTGTTTTTTTTGTTTTAAATCGTTGCTTTTTTAATTTTGACAAAGTGAACTTGAAATATGGCCACTTTGTGATGTTTTGTGTTCCCAAAGCAGTTTTGCTGCATGGCAGCTATTGTGTTTTTGATGGAACGCCGATAGAGTTTCGATTGGATTGGCACGTGTCGCTATTTTGTAAGCGTGGGAGGAAAAAACGGAAGAGAGCAACGATGTAATAAAGGGAAGTTGATTAAGGCCAAGGGAAAGGGTGGAATGATTAAATGGCATCATGATGGGGAATGAAATTAAATAAGTAGAGAAGTGAGAAGTAACAGAATAAGGGATACAGGGGAGGTGTAAGTTGACAACGTACAGGAAGCAATACAGTTTTTAAAATGTGATGATGGAAGAGAAGGCGGAAAGGCAGAAGACATGCTCGCACGCTATGGCTGGGTTTTCTAACATTTTCCTTGGCAAGTGGAAAACATACAAATGGGAATGGAGCCACACAGAGAGGTCTGCACGTCAGCGGTTTCTGATAAAACTCAATGCTCGTGCCTTTGCAGAAAAAGATAAAAAAAACTTGCTGCCGAAGGGCTCAACAAATGGGTTGCTGAACCTATCTGTGTGGACCTTTGAGCGTTATCCTTTCATCCATGTTGGTTTTCTCCAGGTACTCGGGTTTCTTCCTCAACATAATACACTCCTTAAAAAGGAATTGGCCAAACATCCAAATTTAATACGCTTCGCTGGGGGCTCAAGTAAAGCTATCCGGGATAAATATTTAGTTTAAATATTGGACATTATTTGTATTATGAGCTGCACACTGGTGCCCCCTTTAGGATGTTTCCATGTAACGAGCACACAATCGCTGGCGCGCATTTGGGATCAGGGAGAGGCATGACCTAGTTAAGTATATGGCATCTGGCCGAGTGTTAGGAGTTATGTCTGGAGTGTGCCACAAGCACCCTTTATTTAGTCACAGGGCAAACTGCCTATTGTTTAATAATTCTCCAGTGCTGTGGTGGTAGAATGATTATTGAGGTAGGGCAGATAATGTGGTTAATGTTGTGCCTGTTCACGATGTGATTGCCTCGTGGTGGCATGACACCAGGACGGGGGCGGGGGGGTGAAGCAGGGTATCAGGTTGATGAAAGCTTGAATAAGGCGTCAGTTGGAGTGCAGCCAGTATACCGACTGGCAGCTCATATACAGAATGACGGCGACTATACAGACAGACTGCTTATATACAGACTGGCTACTCGTATACAGACTGATGACACATATAGACTGTATGCATATATACAGACTGACCACTCGTATACAGGCTACCTACTTAAATACACGTGTAGTTTTTACTAGGCGATAGGGACTTTTTAAAAGGTGACTGCGCGACGCATTGTCTGGGAACCCTCTTTTAGGGGGCAGCTTTTTTCAACGCAAACACTGCCCTGGCTAGAAACATTTATAGGACACACATGCGTGGGCTCAAGTGCACAACACACAACTGGTCCAAATTAAACCTTTTTAAAATGAATTCTCCACATGTCACACTGCGTTTTACACTTGGAACTGGGTCAACGAAAACCCAACGGTGTGACCCCAGGAGCTCTAGTGACAGGACCCATGCCCATGCATCAAACCATGCGCAGAATAATTTATTATTTACGAATCCTCCAAAATTGTTTGCAAATAATTTCAAAACAGTGATTTAAAATGTAGCCTTATGGGGCAGAAACGACCTGTACGAATGAGACAAAACAAGAATAATTGCAAACGAGATAGATCGAGACAACAATTGATTATTAAAGCAAAATGCAACTTTAAATCGTGGCAATTCATGGTTGCACTGGGCAGAGAGGTTAATCATCTCAAGCCTGTCATTTACAGCCCTTTGTGACCATACTTCACCATGCCGGTCAATGCAGGTTGAAGGAGGGGCCACCCATGGTCAGTTCCGACATCCACCGCGACTGCTGTAAGCCGTGGTCAGATTCATAGCTTAATGTCAACTACCGTGTCATCATTCCACCACCTAAACGCCAAGTAAATGTATCTTAATGAGGTTGGGGCGGGGGTAAATTGTTTAATGCTCCATGGGTGCAGGCAGTCCCCTTTGTCAATCCACTGATGGATGAAGGTGTACCCATGCCGTACGGGACGTGGGGGGTTATATTTGACCATACTTCGTCAGGGCTGATAAACTTACCACAATGAGCAGGCGGAACTCCTCGTCCTCGAAGACATTCAGCTCCAGGTGCAGCTTGAGTCGGTGGTCAATCGCCGAGAAGCCGTCGGACCCAGGACTCCCAGAGCCTGTTGTGACATTGGTTGCAAGAAACCGGGGCGCTCAATCATCACGAGAAGACTCAACCACCGCACGGTCCTTCCCCACAGGGAACACGCCATTACCGTCGCAATAAGACATGCTGCCTTCAAACAAAAAGTTAAAGCGCTTTCTTACTCAAATGTAGATCGAGGCAGTGCGCATTCCTATGGTGGGAGCGATTATATCCAAAGAACAACTACCGTTGATTTATCCACAAATTGGAAATCCTTTGATCGACCCTAAAGGGATGGTGGGCTGAGTCAATACCCAATTTGAACTCGCAACCTTACGATTACGAGCCACTCGCTCTGCCGCTGAGCCACCTGGCCAGAATTGTAACTGATAATAATGATGCCATTTGTATATCCAGAAAGGTCTTATTCAGCCTCAAAACTAGTTTTCAGGCGAGTCCAGCATCAGGATGTTTGGTAAATTCCACTTTAAATTAGTGGGATATTGATTAGGAAGCCATTCAAATCGCAATTTAAAGGGTGCGAGTTCAAATCCTTGTCGGGCACCAGGGGAGATTGACTCAGCCCCCTTATCCCTCTGGGGATGATAAAATTGGTACCACTTTGTGGTAAGCGATTATCCAATGGAGTTAACAGTACCCGGCCAAATAAATGCCAATTATCGTTAATGCCTTAATGTGTCACCGAGTCTCAAAGTAATTTTTCAGGATGATCTTACATTGGAATGTTTTGGCCAACACCTTTTTAAGGAGCATTGCATATCAGAGGAAACCAAAGTACCCAGAAAAAAATATACTGGTTGAGATAACACTGAAAGGTCGTCACAAATGGGTTCATGAACCCATTTTATCGACTGCCACCTCATGACCACTTTGCCGCCGAGCGGGTTTGGTAGCGTCACAAATCACCACACCTTATTTAGTCGAAGAATTCTGTCCACATCAACTCCGGTCTCTGCATATTTGCTCTCACCGTGCGAATCTAGTGACGACCTTCGCATGGCGCCATGCACAGGGCTGTCTCCGCATTCGTAGAAGGGGTTCTCTCCTACTCCACCACCGCCGCCAGCGCTGCTGCTGCGCCTGCTGCTACCGCAGCTGCTCAAAGCCCCGTCTGTCTCAGTCTTCGAAACGCCGGAGCTCAAGCCAGACAGGAACTCGTTAGCCGTCCGGTAGAGCGAGAACGATTCTGCGCGTACCCGGCCGCTGTCGCTTCCCCCCGCCACCGTGGGGCTCGGTGGGACACCATTAATAACGACACCGCTGTCCAAGGCGTTGCATGGCGTGCCGTTATCCACGTAGACGGTGCGGTACACGTCGGCGCCGGCTAAGCCGGCCCAGACGCCACTGGAGCCATGCGAGGACGCGAGCGGTGTGCTGGAACGGCGAGGCATGCCATCCGTTCCATCGGTGTCGGACACGAGCACGACCAGATCGCTGGAACACGACGGGCACGCCAGCAGGGACCCCTCGCGTTCCTCCTCCTCGTTTCCTGCGATCACGTCAAAGTGGGGGCGGAGATGCGCAAAGCAGGAAGACATACATAAACTCGGTTTTTTGGGTTAATTAATTCACCAGTAAAAACATTGCGATTTTAGACACGCACTAAACTCTTTTTTTTATTCAGCGGAACAAGAATCCTGCATTCATTACACTGCGTCACAACTCGCCCGTCACCTCTGTCGAAGGCTGTGCGGCCAAAGGAGGCATGGCGAGCGAGGGCCCCGGGGGGCGGTGGCATGTTCCGGGTGGGCCCAGTGAACGACTGGCTGCACTTGAGGCACTGGAAGGCGGAATCCTTCTGGCGGAGGGCACGCTGGTTTTCCTGAGCCACGGGTGCCAGCACGGACAGCAGGGTCTGCGCAGGGTGGGTGCAGGGTGGGTGCAGGGTAGGTGCAGGGTGGGCGCAGGGTGGCAGCAGTCGGAGAAACCAAAACGTGAGCATCTCTACAGTTGAATGTGACACAGGAAGTGAAAAGGGAATGAAAAGTGAAACTGTGATACTTGCAAAAGGGCATGGAGTAGAAAAATAGTTTGGAAGTGGAACACTTTATTTTAATTTTTTCTATCTACGTGACTTTACCAAAATAACCAAAGAATATGAAAGTGGAACACAGTAGCCAACTGGACACGAGCATGATACTGTACCATGTCGAATTGGGAATTGATGCTCTTTTTTAAGTGTGCGTGAGCATTTGAGTTATGATTAAATAAATTCATGTTCGGCCACAGGGCGAGGATAAGGCAAATTATTTAAAGATGAATTGCTACAGGCTGTGTTGGGATTCCTTGCTTAGGAAATGGAAGAGGGTTCGGTTTATGTTCAAATGTAAGTTTCAAAGGGTTAATAACCATGGACTAGAATAACTTACGGTGAAGATTACATGGGGTAGGTTAGGGATAGGATTATGATCAAGATTATGAAAACATTATATGGATGACGGCTCAGGATTAAAATGTCAGGGTGAGATCTCAACCTCTAGTCCACAATTCTATATTTAAAGCTTTCGTGACTGCTAGGATCCATACTCTTTGCTTCTATTGGGTATTTTATTTTTTTACCTACGTGACTTTACCCAATAGAACTCTAGTCCACAATTGACCATAATTTCATTAACCGAGCATGGGGGAACCTTAGTGAGGTAAGGCTAAGTATGGGATCTTTGTGGAGGTTGTGAGTGTGTAGGTGGCACCAAGATCTGTAAGGCAAGTAGTTACAATGGGCAATTAAACAATTCCCCAACCAGAGCCATACCAATAATTAATTAGAACCACACAAGCCATTCAGATACAAGTTCTACCCAATAACAATCACCACATCAGCCAATCAGATCTTAGACCAACCCCAAACCACCCCAAACGATGGGGCAAAAGACCAGTCCCGCTTTCAACCCCTGCAAGACCGCAGAAACCGCGGTGTGTCCACCTGCAGGACGAGCTTCGGGTCCTCCTCTAGGATGAGGTACGTGCGTTGCTTCCGGTCGGCCCAGATGTAGCTGAAGTGCAGCTCTAGGGCTGGAACCAACTCTTCCACCCCCTGGGCATAGACGTACACGTGCAATACATTGTGCAATTAAACACACAAAGACAAAGGTCCCCTGTGAAGCCTACAGATTTGGGACAAGTATTGCGAGTGAGCACCGATGCAGGTCAGCAAGGCACAAAAGGAGGGTTGTGTGGCCAGGTAGGGGTAGTGTTAGGGTTAGTGTTAGGGGTAGAGGTTGGGTTATTTATAGGGTGCACAGTAGTGTTATGGGTATGGTTATGGTTAGGAATAAGGTGTGAGATATGTAGGGTTACCGATAAGGCACACTTGTGGTTAATACATGCAGGAACATGCCAACAATGCGCTAACGATAGTCAAGTAAAAAACATTACTAAAACATTACCAGTGCTCAAAATAGCCACTGGAATATATTGTCCACTACTATGGTCGTGGCAAGTCCATCCACAGATCGACTGGGGCTACGTCTACCGCACTGCATCATCACAAGCGTGCCGTTCCGCACCTGCCGGCAGTAGGGCCGTGCCGTGGCCTTTGCCGAGAGCAGCGAGGCGAGCTCGAATGTGGCGGTGGTCTTTGCACGGCTCGTCTCCTGCTCCACGAGTGCCACGCGCCGCACCGTCACAAACACGGTGCGCTCCTCCGCGTCCGTGCACACGCTTGCCAGGCACGGCGCGCTCAGGGTCTCTGCGCACGCGCGGCATCAAACGGTTAGGAGGATCTGCGAGGCTAGCATCTGGCCTCACCCCAATCTCGGCAGTTGAGCTCCACGCAACTACAGCCCCGCATCAGCAACCTGCAACGCGAAAGGTGCAACAGCAAAAATAGCGCAATAATACGGTATCATAAATTATATTAGCAATTAAGAGATGCATCGATTCACCAATTAAAAAAATGATTGAAAGCCTGGTTCTCTAGATCTGAAATGTACTCCAGCCACTTTGCTGGACAACTTTGTGAGAATTCAAAAGTGGTTGTGTTAAAGTGAAACTGACCCCTGCCACAAGAATGTGGAATCTACACAACTGGATGAGCGCTGTCTACTGCTTGTGAGTTCACAGAAACACAACATTTTGAACAGATTTTCCATCTCGTGCTAATTAAGGATTACCATGCTTCAGACTCATGCCCTCGGTAACAAAAATAAATTAGCAAAAGCATCTACAACAGTTTTTCTCACACAGATCACAGACCTCCGTATTTCTCATCCTCGTCAAAAACATCTTCCCTCTCCTCTTCCTCCTCCTTCCCCTCCTTCTCCCCCTTTTCCTCATCCTCGTCCATCCCGAGTCGCCAGGAGATCTTCTCCTGCTTTAGGGTGCCGCGGGAGGACGTCGAGTCCAAACGGGAAGCAGTGGTGGTAGTGCCAGCCGTGGTGGTACCGTCAATCTCATCGCTCGCCTGCCTTCCCGTGACGAAAACCTCCTCCTCCCCGGCTCCGTCCGTTTCCGTGACTTCATCCGCACTGCAGTACCCGGCAAATATGCTGATGCTGCTCTCCAAGTCTTCAGCGACGGGTGTCTGCTGGGAGGGAATGCCATCAGCCACTGATGCGTCAGGCTCCTGCTGCTGCCCCTGTTGCTGCCGCTGAGTGTTAAGCCCTTCGCTGTCGCCACCAGAATCGGTTGCATGCTCCAGGTGGTGCTTGTAGCGCAGCCAGTCGGAGCCTAGGCGCTTGCGGAAGTCCTCCATCTGCTCAATCTCCTCCTTGTGCAGCAAGCCTTGTGATGGCGCTGGGGTGGAGAAGGATGGTCAGGAGGAGGAAAGGACAGAAGGATACATAGGACGGATATAACTGAGACACAAAAGGGAAGTGAGAGTTCTAAACAGCAAATTTTAATTTAGATGAAAAAACGGACCGTAATTGAACTGGAGCGGGACAGGACATTTCGTTGAAAAGTGTCGTTGTGTGCTGTCTTTTAGGATAGTGTGGGAAGTAAACACTTTGAGACTCAGATAACTATAAACCAGTGCAAAGTTTCCAAAGCTTAAACTAACTCGGTTGGAAAATATTCTTAACTCGTATCCAAGAGCACAGTACACAGAGCCTAGGTGTGCATCTACAAGATAAGAGCTGTATGTTTTAGGGGTTGCATTGGTGAGGTTGAACAACTGGGCTAGGAGTGGACTTTCCGATATAGATTAGGATTAATTAGACAATGGTCATCAACTGCTCTGCAATTACAGAAATTAAGATTAGGAATAAGTAGAGTAGTGTTAGGAAATGGTTTAGAGTTAGAATTGTGAACGTGATCCAGAGTAGCAACACATGTGTTAGATTAGCATTAAATGAATTGAGCTTAAGAATACAGTTAGGAATAAACATATTCGGGAAAGACTTTTGTCAACTGAAGCCAAGAGGCAAGACACCTGAGAACTGGGAGCCGAAGCAGTGCCACGTTTCCATGACCACTGGGAACCGTTCCAGTTGTTAAAGCCACACAGTGGAAAATTACAAAGTGGGCCTTAACTTAAAGTCTCATATTACACGTGCCTATGTTAAACATGAGGAAAATAAAAACACTTTTCATTTTGCATGTTCTCCCTGTGGTCGCATGGATTTTTCACAAGTTCCTCCAGTTTTTCCCTCCACATTTAGAAACATGCGTTTAGAGTATTTGGCTGCTGTAAATTTCCACACAATGAGCCACTTCCCTCAGCAATCATTGGTGGCCAGGTCGCCTCTGAAAAAGAGCTATGTAGCTCAGTGGGTCTTACCTGGTAAAATAATAATAGTTTATAGTTTTAGAAAGCATCGAGACACAACCCAGGGACCAAGGCCTGCTGTTGGGCCATCACTGCAACAGAACTGGGCCAGCTGAACCCAGTTTCCAGTGGTCGAGAAATTTAGACGAAGTGAAATAATATTTGTAGAGGTTTAGACTTCGTGTAAGGTGCGGGGATCAGCAGGGGAACATGGCTTCGTTGACGCGGGCTGCTCCTGACTCACTGCTGGTGAAGCTGTGCGCGTCGAATTCTGCGTCCGACGCGCTCGGCTCCGAGATGTTCGCCTCGCGTGCGATCCTCCGCTTCTGCAGGGGCATTGACGACAACATTAGTGGGGAAGAACTGTCAGGAGTAATCGTGCAACAAGGCATAAACAAGAAGACGAGCAAGCACAGACAAATGAGAACACGTGGAGACACACAACATATCATCATCATACACACACAGACGCACGTACACAGGTACAGACATGCAACTAAGCGTGCACACAGGCACACACAAACGTGTAAATTCACGCAAACGCACTCAAAAACATGTCGAACGCCCGCTGGCAGGAGGTCACGGGGCAGACCCAGGTGCCACGGGTCGACTGACTGAGATGACTGGCTGATGCACCACCTGTGCCCCCTACTGTGCCAACTTGCTGTGCTTTAGCCACCCGGCGCTCCGCTCGTTGTTGTGAGCATCGCTCCTCCGCCCTCCGTTGTTGTTGGAGGGCGACTGCCTCCAACTGCCCAGTAGCGTCCTTCACGAGCCTCCTCCACAGAGGCCGAACCTGACACCGCTGGTACCAGTCATCGGCAAGTCCACTCAGCTCCACGTCCACCTGTACCACATCACTCCATCTATTCTGTAGCCCGTGCCGCGCCCGTTTAGCCCCCTCTATCCGGCCAAACAAAAGTTGTTTAGGCATGCAGTGACTGGGCATGCGGGTTACATGACCCAGACAACGCAGCCTTACCTGCCGGAGCTCACCGATGGGACTTTGTCCAGATCTTTCAAGGATTTGTGAGCTCCTCACACAATCCAGCCTGGTTAAACCCAGGATGGATCGTAGGCAGGCCAGCCTAAATGTTTCTAACCGGCAAAGATGTTCCATTAGGGGGGTCCACGTTTCGCAAGCATAGAGAAGGGAGGGAATGACTGTGGCCGAGAAAACCTGAAGCTTCGTACAGAGCGACAGATCAGGTAGCTTCCACACAGCGTTACGCAACCGATGAAAAGATAATGCCACTCGACTGACTCGGATTGAGACCTCTGCTGTCAAACTGGAGCCGGTCATGAGCACACTACTGAGCTATGGGAAACTCTGCACTCTCTCCACAACTGCCGCATCACCAATTGGGAGTTGTGGGGGTGGAGTGTCCGATGGAACAAAATACCCAGGCAGGTGTTAAGTTTTGGTGGGGTTGATGGTAAGGCCCCACCTCTAAGTAGCAAGCACCAGGTTCAGCAGCAGCACCTCCAACTCTTCCTCTGAGTGAGCGGCAATTTCCAGATCATCGGCATACATGTGGTTGACCAATAGGGAGCCATCCCTTGACCGCACCCGGGCATCAATCAGCCTCCTATTGTACCAGATGGAAATTCCTCCAGTTCAGCCATTGAAGGCTTCACGAACTACGTGGTTGAAAAAGATGTTATATAATGTGGGAGCCAGAGGACATTCCTGTCGCAACCCAAGGTGAACAGGGAATTGCTCCGACTCCCGGCCACGTAGTTTTACTCGGACCCGTTCACCATCATAAAAGTCCTTAATGATCGTGAGCAGAGGGTCAGGGACTCCGAAAGCACGAAAAATAACCCAGAGCCCAGACCTACTGATGGTATCATAGGCCTTGACCAGGTCAATAAAGCAGAGATGTAGGTTTTGTTGGAATTTCCTACACCTCTGCTGTAGCAGACGGACAGAAAATATGGCATCTGTGCAGGACCGCCCTTTTCTGAAACTGCATTGGGGCTCTGCAAGCCTCTCCTCAGCGTGCCTGGCAAGGCGATGTTGAATAATCCTTGCCAGGACCTTTCCCGGCACACTGAGGAGATGCCCGTAGTTAACACCGCACTCGCGCACACACACACACGTACAGAAGAACATGTGAGCATTGCCCCTACCGAGTCGATCCTGCGCCGCTCCCGCCGGTAACTCTCCTCCAGCTCGCTGGCCGTGTTATCTGACGAGCCTTGTTCTCTTCCGTTCCGTGGCCCCAACGATGCGCCGCTGAAGGAGGGCCGCACAGTACGTGCGGGCCGCACCGTCGGCAGATTCTGGCGGCGGAAATGACGGAGTATTAATAAACTGCCATCTCGGTTTCAAAGCTCGTGTTCAACTCAGCAGTCCCATCTGTATCCCCAACACTGCTGGAGTCTGGTTGGTTAATAATGAATTTGAAGTGTGGGCAGGATATTCCTTTATGCCTTCACCTGAGTCTAGCAGAACTGATATAGCTCTCTTATCAGAGCATACTCTTTGGTTCTTTCAGTAAAGTCACGTAGGTATAAAATAAAATAAATTAAATCACGACGTTTCGGGCGCAACACAAGCGTCCGTCATCAGGTGGGACAACCACAGCAAGAAACAATTGCCGAAGTGGGCACGAAAATTTCACATCTAGATTTCTCAGAGCATGTTTTTTTGCATGTTCACCACAAGTACGTGTGGTTAATGCAGACATGATTCCTCACAAAAGGTATATATTTCGTATTTGAACATCTTAACACCTCCTGTTTTACTGCCAGAAAGGGTAAAACATTCTTATTTTTTCAGGAGACTTCCTGTCCACATTGATGAGGGTCATTCATCCTTATTGTAACATTAGTTTCCAGTTTTGTCTTGAGCACATTAAGTGAGTGGTCATTGCAATTCGAGCAACTGACTTGCAAATTGGAAGGCTACAAGTTAAAATCCTCATCAGATAGGGAAGGGAGGAACTCTGCCTATCAACCATCTGGGGTACATAAAATGAGCACCACTTTGTGGGAAGCCACAAAGTGGTAAGTACTGCAAGAAGTGCAATGCACATCACATTTTGGGGCTGTAAATGGAGATGACACCATCACAAGTTCATCTGAGCGAGAAGCCACTTTGTCTTTTCACAGGACAATTTGGGTTTACAAAGTATCCAAAATGCCATTGCATCTCAAGATGCTGTACACAAACAGGTAGGGCATCTTCATATCTTGCCGGGGAAAGAAACGGTTGTGTCTATGGTATTTTAAGAGGGGGAAGAGAGAAAAGACAATGAGGGAATGTTGCCACTTCATAGCCACAGTCATATTAAGTACAGCATGCCTACTTAATGTGCACTAAGACTATCAGCAATTGTAACAGTCAAAATGTCTCCCCTGGTCAAAAATGTGGGGTAGTGGTGGAAGATTCCACATTCCTCTGCTGGGGTCAGTATATCCATAAGACAATATCTAGAATGGTTACTCTTCCTGTTGATGATCTACCAGCAATCTACTGGGGTTAAATTTAGTTTTGTGTTATCCACGGTACGGGAAATATGCATCCTGCAGCCATCTGGCTGTGTTTAGATTGTTGTCGTACTTCCTCAAATATGTTTACTGGTGCCCAGCTGTTTCGGTGTGAAAACAGCTCGATCTTCAAAAAAGGGGTGCAGTATACTTTGAAAACCACAGCAGTTTAAAAAAATAAAAATACTGCATTACTACTTTTGTCGACTCAAGTAACAGCGAAATACACGTTAGGTTATAAGGGTTTCCAAAGTGAGTGGGCGGAGGGCAAGGCATTCTCACCTTTAACTCAGACTTTGTTAGTGGCTTCCCATCCAGTATTAGCTGAAAAAGACAGATGCATTGTGATAACCTCCTGTGTGTCTGACCGCAACGTTTAAAAACAGGACAGTATTATCAAAAACTGTTCTCCAGCTAATTTGAAATAAAGTATAAAGTACGTTTCCTCAAATTCAGCGAAGTTACCAGTTATAAACACTGCAGAGGGTGAACTGTCCACATTTTACATGAAGCCTATGGATTATTTTTCAATGAGCAGGGAGCATATCTCAGCAATCATTTTAAGTGCAAAAATATAAGAGGTAGTTTTGATTATTTCAATTTGACAATAAAACCTAGTTTCCTAGAAAAACATTTCTAAATTATAACCTGAAGCTGCAAAATCTGTAGTGGTTTGCTTCTTCCGCTGGTGCCTCTGTGGTCAGTTTCTAACATTACTCAACCTGAAATTCTGACATCATTAAACCAGTCGACGGACTCATCACCCCTCCAGCTAATAACGTGATGTTTCCTTGCCAAATATGCTGCACAAAGCATTTTGCCTTTTTATTTATACCCTGTGGAACTAAACTTGGGAACGAATCACCTACGTCTGTCTTTCCATCTGATTATAATTTGCATTCAACTCTTTTACCACTCTTGGATATGGGGAGAACTGATGGTGATTACATTTTGCAATAAGACTCAGACCTTCAGTCAGCAACTTTCAATAAAAAAGAAGACAATGGTGGTCAGGTAGCTCAGAACACTCAGCTGGAACCTGTGGGGTTCCTGAGTTGAATTCAAATTTTAGCCACACCATGATCAAATGGGGTTCTCAAGTGCAATGAGTTGATGGTCTCAGCCAGGTCACCAACAACTTCTCAAAAAATTGTTTCCACTAAATTTGAAAAAATTAAAACTGAAAGAGTATCCAAAACATTTCACTTCTCTCTGCAGTCGACCGTGTGGGAAGTGCACCCTTCTTATGTTTGGATAAAAAAATGTAACTTGAAGGGTATCTGAGTAGTATTTCTGTGATATCTCATTCTGCAGGCCATTTTCTAATACATGTGGTTGCACTATTCTTTGGGTCTTTCGGTAAAGCCACGTAGATAGAAGAAAAAAAATAATAAAAATCACGACGTTTCATTCCTACCTCAGCAGCTCTCCCACTATATTTTTTCACCCGATGACGATTGCTTGTGTTGCGATCGAAACGTCGTGATATTTTCATTTTTTATAATAATTTTTCTATCTACGTGGCTTCATCCCGAAAGAACCAAAGAATATGAATTCCTGCAGTCACGTAAGCTTTAAGTCATGTGGTTGCAGTGTTTTGCAAATATTCGGACTGTAGAAATTGTCTCATGATGCGACTCCAAAAGTAAAACCGGAGAAGAAAGGCAAATGACAGGAAGCCATCACAACTGCTCTTAAATGTACGAGGCTACTTCTACTACTCATCTTATCTGTACGCAAGCACAGCACAGACTTGGTGCCCTTCAGGGTTGGCACATACTGGCAAGGTGGCCGACTTTGGAGACAGGTGTCTCACTGTCTCTACACGGTGGCCCTTGCGGAAGAACAGCGGGTTCCCTTGTACATACAGCTGGGAAAACAAGGGATGCGCAGACAGTGACACGGGGAATGAGCTGAAAAATACAAACAAATCGCAGTCCCACCAACGTTGAAGCGTGTAGTGCATGATGGCAGCAGCGCAACAAAAATGAAAGCCGAGAGGCTTGCAAAGGCTAGAGCAGCAGGAGGTGGCGGGGTGGCTCCATGGGCTAATGCCGTGTCAGAGCACTGAATCAGCACAGCTGAGATCCTGGTTTAAAATCTAGGTTTCAGCAACCTGTGATTAAACTGTGCTCAAGTGTTTTACGTTTATTGTATCCCCACGAATGACTGCACAAGAACACAAAATATTACATTTGGTTTGTAATTTTATTTGGCTCTAAGAATTAAACATGGCCATTTGATTGACATGCAACAATGGCATATCCAAGGTATTTCCTTAATGCGCTGATAAAGGCCCATAAAAGTGAATTTAAAAGTAGTTTTGTCAGTGGCAGTTCGTGGAATCAGGTTGAGAAAGCAACAAAGTCCACCTCAGGTGTTCCAGTCTCAGGTAATAACCTAAGCTGGTGGATTTGAGTAACTAGAATGTGCTGGCAGTAGCTACATAATCAATGCTTTCTCCACCAGATGGGCACAAAGCATCCCATGGAGCTTCCTAGGAGAACTGGTCTGGTGGGAGTCCAGCACTGATACATTATTACACGTTGAATTTGTGTTTCAATTGGCAAGTAATCTGATTGTACGTGTCACCTGAGACTGGAAAACCCGAGGTGGAATATTGCCTCTTCCACTTGGAGCCACAAATGGTCACCAAGTTTTGCCACATAATTTTGTGGTGACACTCTCTGACAATGGAAGTTCTTTTATTTGATGAAAGTGCTAGTAGTCCAACTAGGAGTCCCTTACTCCTAAGAGCTGTCCGCTGGAGACAGAAGAGAAAGTAACATTTTAGCTGGGGCTGCCGTGTGTCCTGGCATGCGCCAATCACCTTCTGAAGGTGCGGTAGCTGTGAGAGTGGGGAAAGCTGCGAGTGCTCCATCAGCAGGTTGTAGGACACGTCCAATGTCTGCAAGGTCTCCAGCATCTGCACACCTGAACAGCGGCATCAACACACACGCAGATTCGCACCTAAGTACACGTACTTGCACGTACACTCCCACTGCCTGCCAATTATCCGATGCAGCTTGCATATGCCAGTTGATTAGGAAACCGGTGCCACCAGAAGAGGAATAGGAATTGTAATACAAATCTTTTTTTCCCAACATCGAAAACCATTTTCAGTTGATAAGTTACTTAACTTTTTTCACCTGGTGTCAAAGAAATCAACATTATTCTAGGTACTTTCTAACTAGACAAAAAGCCCATTGAAACTGACTTTTTTTTCAAGAAAGATCTGGGTAAAAGCAAGTGTATGTTAAAAAATGTCGATAAGTGTGAAAAACTTCAGATCATGAGAACATGACAGAATAATAACAATCAAATTATAACATTTAAATAGAACTTAACATTTTCACCACTAGATTTTAAAATGGATCTAACATGTAACATCTATAAAAGGAGTAAAAGTTATTTAAAATGGCAAGCTCTGTTACAATGTAATATAAGAGTAGCTCTGTTGAATAAGACAATTGGGGAAAATCTGGCCCCTCCTTTTTCATTGCAACATCAATAACAAAAAAATATCAATCTATAACAGATGTGAAGCATCTCTTTTGTATGTGATATTGGAAAATAAATCAGAAACACAATAACAGTGGCATTACAGCATTTACAACAGCTGTGGCAATTCCCCAGATTTGCCCAAAAATATGTTCAGTGAGTGGCATAGCGTGGTTGGCACAGACCTTTGTGGAAGAATGAGGCCCCCTATCCTAATTCTCTTGTCTTCATAGACCGGCACCTGGACCCCTCCGGCCCGTGGGCCCCAGTGCAGTTGCACCACTAGTACACTCGATATCTATGTCACTGCGAAGGAGTCACTGTAGCACTGCACAGTATAACTTGGCTGGAGGCACTGCTGCAACCTGAGCTTACGTTCTTGTCAACTGACGCTGCTCTGGCTATCAGCAGCGCATGTGAGTGCGAGTGCTGAATGCATAAAGCTCCCCCCCACCCCCACCCCGCATCAGCAGCTCCCCTGTTTTTCAATTTCAGTTTTCAGTTTCATTTATTTGGTATAGCCCTGTGAGCCATTCGGCTCTTGAATCGGGTGCAACCGCAACACACAAAAAACATGAACAAGAAAACATCTTAAAGTGACTATGTAACTTTGTGCAAACAGAAAATCCAAGAAAAGACAGCAAAAGATTGCTTAAAAGTGCGAACCGTCGATGGAGTCGAGCTCGTTGTTGCTTAGCAGCAGCACGGTGAGGCGGCTGCGGCACGACGGGCTGAGTGCAGGAAAGCTCTGCAAGAAGTTGTAGCTGATGTTCAGTGACTCCAGCTCAGTCAGCGACTGTGGGGCAAAGTGGAAGGCTCTCACAACATGTCCGGGAAAAACCATGCTCACCATTCATCTCAAACACATGCTTCTTTAACGGATTTTCTATGCAGCATAATTCTCAAAGGGAGCTCCCTGAAAGACTCCAATCTCTGGCGAGAGCCAATTGCGAGAAAGGTCTAAATGAAATGCGTATTTTTGCCTAATAGTCAGAACAAACAAGGCAGAACTAAAATTACAATACAAACAGCCTGGTCTAAAAGTGTGGGACCCAGTGGTTAGCGTCCAGGCTAAGCAGCTGTGGGAACCACAAATCGCGTGGCTGCACAACTGCCCCTCTCCAGACAGCACCCACCTTGAGGTAGAGGCCGGCGTCCTGTAATTTGTTGTGACTCAGATCCAAACAGCGCAGCACTGGGAGCCAGTTCTGTAGATCGGCACGGGCAACAATCAAAACGTAAAGGTGACAGTGGGAGTTGCGTTGTGTTGTGTGTGCAAGACGAGTGTGTGCAAGGGCGAACGAGACAGCAGTGCGTGCAGAGTCAGTGTACCAGCGAGTCGTCGAGACATGAGATGAAGTTGTGGCTGAAATTGAGAGTGTGAAGTTCGGGCCATGGGAAGGCCGTAGCGAGGTCTCCCCCACACTGCGACAGCACCTCCTATTGGAAAAAACGAAACACAGGCACAGCCGTGAGTTCGTGTATTGTCACCGTTCAGTTCAGAATTCCTCCTTTTTCGTCTTTTTTCCACTCTAATTTTCTGTTAACCTGTTTTGTTTCATTTGTTGAATTAGCATTAAGGTATTTTAACATTCCTTTGTGTAATGTTAACACGAATCAACATGTACATTTTGGATTCAGCAATTGTGAGTGACAATCTTCTATTTTGGAACAATGGCATGATTGTACGGCCTTCCCATGGCCCGAACTTGTACACAAAAAGCGTATTTGTGAATTCACTGCTAAATGAGGGCATCCCCAAGCTGTATGGGTCATGCAAAGCTATTTGGCCGCACTTCACAACACTGGTCAGTGCCGGTTAAAGGATGGAAACAGACATAGAAGCATAGAAGTAGAATAGAACAATGGATTTACTGGCACTGCCCTCTGCTGCCCATCAAATAGCCTCGCAGCCTACAACAACCTGTTTGTACATAGTGCTCACACATCCAAGCACTATCCAGGCTCGACCTTGCCGATATTCCGAGATCTAACAAGGTTGGGTACATTCCAGTTGCTTTGATAATTTAAAGGAAACATATGCACGCGAATACACTCGTGCACACGCACTCCAAATGCCCCCATGACTGCCCGATGCTGGTACCTCCATCGTGTCGACGCACTTCCAGCAGGTGAGGCTCTCCAGCTGCGTGTGAATACCCTGTAGCCCCTCCAGGCAGTGCACGGGGACGCCTTTGAGCTGCTCGAACAACCCAGACAGCGCAACGCAAAAACAAGAGCAGCGCTCAATGAAAGGAAGACGCAACCTTAAAATCGGTAGTGGCTGAAGAGTTTGCGATATATATGTTCATATATGCAGCATATGTGAATCAAAAATAATACACTTCTCACACCCAAGATTAGACATGTATTGCGAGTGTACGAATATATTTTTATTGATGCATTGTTACAGGCCTATCGACAAAAGCTACTTGTTTTGTGGGCTGCATAATCCCCCTAACGTGTACTCGCTGCAAGTCACTCGTGTCGGCCCGCTGATCGACAAAATTAAAAACAATGACATTTTGTTTGTCTCACCTCCAGAGACTTCAGCAACTTGAAGGCGAAGATGTTGATGCCCGTCTGTATTGCATCACCCTGCTTGTGGACCAGCTGTAAGCAGCCCAGGTATTTTCAATTTGAAAGCCACACGGTCCATCACAGTAAATTAAAAATGTAAAAAACACTCATGTATGATACAGATGCTTCATGATGAGGTCAACAATTGAGGTTTGAACAGCAGATGTGAGATATACACAGGGTAAGAGGCTGTTCTAAACAATGGGTATAGCAGTCTAAAAAGAGCCCCCATAATGCAGATGTTAACATAAGACAAACCAGAGCATTTGCTTAAATCTTCAAATCAGTTGATAAAAAAATAAACATGGAAGTGGCCAGGTAGCTCAACAACAATGTCAGAGCACTGAACCGGCACCACTGAGAATCTGGGTTTGAATCCAGGTATTGGCTGTCTACAAACACACTGGATTTTAAAGCTGAATGAGTTAATGGTCTCACTGAAGTCACCAATAACAGCACAAAAAACCCTCGAGTAAATTCAGCACATTTACAATGATGAGGATTATAAATGATTTGATTTCCATCCAACAAACACCCGAGCATGTGGGAAGGTGCACCTCCTATTTTAAGAAGCAATTTAAAGGAACCTTATAAGATTTCCTATGATATAATCTTCCAGAGATCATTCTCTAACATGGGGCGGTGTTTGCAATGTTTGCTGCAAGAATTCTGAATGGTAATTTCTGCATCTCACAACAATTTGTCAATGATAGGACTATTCATCTACAATAAAAACTAAAGAAAAATATTTCACAAGTGAGCGCGACCTGCTTGCTGGTGCCTCACCTTGAATCTGGGCACCTTCTGGAAGACATCAAAGAGGAACTGCAGCTCCAGGACATGCGGCGAGCTTGCCGTCGGCAGCACAGGCAGTGCCAGGAAGCCGTGCATACGGAGTGGGCGTGGATGCAGCAGCTGCTGGAGGAGGCAGTTGAGGTTCTGCAATCGGGTGGTGCTCAGCACGAGCTGTCTGTGTCCATTCAGCACCGAATCACCTGTATTCATCCAGCCGGCACGGATATAGCAGTGACAGGGGCGGAGGGATACAATGGCGCTTTCGTTCGAAATACTGCAGCTCTGAGAAAAAGTGCTACAGTAATTGGAGCACCTTAATCTATCCCGAACCTAAAAACCTTTCATTTCCGAAAGCGATATCCAGAAGATGACAGCACAGCAATGGATTGACTCCAACTCTGGAGCTTTGAGTGTTATCCAATCGAATGTGTGGTGGGTTTTGTTTCTCCTGGTACTCTGGTTTCCTCCGAAGCCAAATGCTGATGGACGGAATTGGCTAAATACTCCAATGTAGGACCCTTCTAAAAAGTCTAGACCCAGTGAGGCTTTCCCAGATAAAGGTTTTTTTCACAATGAATGACACCCATTTACATGCCCATTCCTGAGCCCAATGAGATTCACAAGCAATTCTGTAAAGCTGTGGCAATACTTTAAAGCAGCACTATTTCCACTCATCTTGCCATCAGGGGTTCTCATACCATTACTCTGAAGAAACATATTATTTGGAAAATCACTGTAATAGAGAAAAGCAATAACGCATTGTAGATGTAATAAGGCAAAGGAGCATGCAATGTGAAATCCATGCTGGATGGAAGAGAACACTTCAGTGTAGTCATTAGTGCTGTTGCCATGAGTTGTGGTAATGAGTTAGGGCAATAAACTGGCTATGAGTGGAAGAATAAAAGACGAGCTCCTATCCCATATTAACATACCCAGGCAATGTCCAGAGCTTTTTGACGCACATTTAAAGCACCATTAATGGAGAAAGACTTTACAACTACAATCAATCTCGTGATGTGGCTGCAACGAGGTTGCATAAAACGTGGACAATGCTGCATTGACTAGTGGATGTGACGATACATTTGATTGCAAATTTAATTCTGTCTTCACATTCATGAAGTTTCAAACAGTGTCAGATGGCTCATGACACATAGGTTAGATGTGTAGCGACAAGATGAGCAGTGCGGTTTTTAGGCTGTGTTCTTTTAAGGGAACATGTGGTGGACTGATTTTTCAAAACTTACTCACCAGTGTCCCGGAGCACAGCGGACAGGCTCATTATGAGCTCTTCCTCACCACCAGTCCAGCCTGACATGGTTGCTGTCTGTCACGTCTCACGGCGCCTGTAGCATAACAGCACATGGAGACGTGTACATGCGCACACAATTACAGAGTTTCCTGTGTACCTTTAACAGACTGTTGGAGCAAGTGCTGTCAGTGAGCACTTACGAAGGACGTCACCATACATGAGGGGGTGGCGTGGCTAACACCACACCAGGCTGATTGTCTCCCCTGTGCTGATGTTCACACACCACACAAGGTACTCCTTTATGGCCAAGTCGACCTGCAGGAGGCCCAAGATCATTTCAGATATTCAATACCGATTTGAATTCAAACTCATATCACCGAGGTCCCAGTGCGGCACACTAATTACTATGCAGCCACATACACACGTGCAACAGCTGCTATTCACCACTAAATGTTAGTGACGTCAATATTGCACTTGTGCCAGTCTATGTGCACAGGGAGGCCTTGTGGGTAAAATGACTGTGATGGACACGCAAGTGCACTGTCTACACTTCCAACCGTGCCATCTCGCTGTGTTTTTGCCAGCCGGTGCTTTGCTCGCTGTTGTCACTCCTGCAACTGCCCAGTAGTTGATCCTCCTTCACAGAGGTAAAATTTTACACCGCTGGTACCAGTCTTTCACATGTCTACTCAGCTCCAAGTCCTCACGTACCACATCAGCCCATCTTTTCTTAAGACCATGTGGCACACGTTTATACCCTTTAATCTGGCCAAATAGAAGCTGTTTGGATATGCTGCGGGCTACATAACCGAGCCAATGCCTCCTAATCTGGTTAAGGAGCTCACTCATGGATTGTGTTCATTTTTTTCAAGGATCTGTCGGCTCTCCAGATAATCAAGTCTGGTTAAACCAAGAATACATCATGGGCAGACCAGCTGGATTATGGCCTCTCCAAGTCATGGCTATTTCTCATCTAGCTCCTGCACGCATGTTGATTTTATAGCTCTAACTCCGTGCTAACATATTCACTTGGGCTTGTTCTCTCCTGGGGCTACCACTTTGTCGTTAGTTATGACCACCGACCATCATCCCTTTCAGCGATAATTCCTGCCCAAGCCCACTTATTTTTCAAGTCTATATCTTGCGTTGCTTCTCTGATCTATCTATTCCTCGTCAGTGTAATTCCACGAATGTTAAGATTGTTTAATTTTCTTTGTCAACGTCCAATAAACTTTCCACCACCTGACAAAATTCCACATTCCCAAACCCCAAAGAAAATCAATACCTACCCAAAAAGGGGTACATATTTGATCAATTCCAGGATAACAATCATGAGCCAAATCTGAACCTAGCTCTCCTCCGAGATACCCAACTCCGAAATTTAAATTGATGGATTAACATCTTCAGAACTATGGTGTCCTCATTTATACAACTTCTCACTGGAAACAAAATTGTCTAAATTCCAAAGGAATTAAAACTAATAATAGAAGCCCACAGCTCGACAAAGTTGCCATCAAGCAGTATGGCACCGTCCTCTGAGTGCTCCAGTTTTGATCACCCAGTGGATCTTTGACCCCTTGCTTCTATTTTCAGGCATAGAATTGATTCTTCTTCTATATCACGCATGTTGAATGATAAACATAAATTCCGGCAGAGCCCTTTGGTAAATCATACTGCCGGTTGAGGGCCTTGCGGATCGTGGGGTTTCCTGAACATTGTTTCAAATACTCTACGTAAAACCAACAAGTATTAATCGCAACCAATATTACCGCGAACAGCGTTAACAATCCGCTGACAAAATTACAATTATGTGGTTATTACGCACAACGTTTGCGAGTCTAACGCGCCGCGCCGTGCAGCAGCAGCAGTAACATTAACGGCAGTGCTCTAATTTCAGTCGTTACGATGACTGCAGCAATGCAGAGCGCGTGATCTCACCCCCCCACCACCACCACCCCACCACCACCGCCTTGTAAACACAAGGCCGCCTCCAAAGATCCCAGACCCGAACTCTTGACTCGCCCACGGCTTCCCGCTCCGCCTCACCTGCCGGGCGGCATACTCTGCGGTGTCTCCCCGAGTAGCCCTCGTGCCCCTGCGATCCCCCTTGGCCGGGTCTCTTTCCTGAGGCTCTCACACCGCCACCGCCGCCACCACAACTCTTGAACCGCGCTCGGGCTTGATTGAGCGAGTTCCGTGCTCCGGAGCGCGGATCGATCCTTATGCTCGTGATATATCGATTCACTGCGCGCGATTCGCGCGGGTGATTCGCGTTGTCCGAAATCGATTGTTTTGAATCGTGTTTTGAGGTCACAGTGAGAATATTTATTTACTGGTTCATAAATGTATTTACTGGTTCATAAAAGCTGTCTTCGCCGAGGCAAACTTTTTCAATAAATATAATAACTAACCTGATATTATAATATATTTTTTTAAATCTACGATCATACACCAACTACTACTTAAAAAATCAGAATCAGAAAGGGTTTTATTCGCCATGTAAGTTCACACCGACACGGAATTTACTTTGGCAGGATGGTGCATACATTCAACAAATAGGAATCTAAAATCTTAAATAAGTTTTAAACAAGTCTTACTATAATAAGGGTTAAAAGTCTAACACCAAGGGGCTGAAGTATATAAAATTAAATAAATATCGAATATAAAATAGCTTTAAGATATAATTTAAAAATAAAAAATACAAATAGGGTAACATAGTTAATATCGGCAAGGTGTCGTTATGTAGATCAAATGTTAAAAACAGTGTTAGCCCTTGGCCTTGTTTAACAGGCCAGCAGCAGATGGGAAGAAACTGTTTTTATGGCGTGAGGTTTTGGTCCTGATGGACCGAAGCCTTCTGCCGGAGGGGAGTAGCTGAAACAGAGAGTGTCCAGGGTGGGAGAAATCGGCCATAATCTTCCTCGCTCGCCTCATGGACCTTGTCGTGTGCAGGTCCTCGAGGGTTGGTAGATTGCAGGCAATTACCTTCTCAGCAGTGTGGATGATACGCTGCAGTCTGCTCTTGTCCTTGGCAGTGGCAGCAGCGTACCAGACGGTTATGGAGGAGGTGAGGATGGATTCAATGATCGCTGTATAGAATTGCACCATCATTGTCTTTGGCAGGTTGAATTTCTTCAGCTGCCGTAGAAAGTACATCCTATGTTGAGCTTTCTTGGTGAGGGAGCTGATGTTCAATTCCCACTTGAGGTCCCGGGAGAGAATAGTGCCCAGGAAGCGGAAGGACTCTACAATTTTGACTGGGGAGTCTAACAGGGTGATGGGGGTGAGTGGTGCTGTATTCTTCCTGAAGTCCACAACCATCTCAACTGTCTTTAGAGCATTTAGCTCTAAGTTGTTCTGGCTACACCAGGTCACCAGATTGTCAGCTTCCCACCTATAGTCAGACTCATCCCCACCAGAGATCAGCCCAATGAGGGTGGTGTCATCCGCAAACTTCAATAGTTTGACGGACAGATGATTGGAGGTGCAGCTGTTGGTATACAGGGAGAAGAGCAGAGGGGAAAGGACGCAGCCCTGAGGAGTTCCGGTGCTGATGGACCTGGAGTCAGAGACTTGTGTTCCCAGCTTAACGCACTGCTTCCTGTCAGACGGGAAGTCTGTGATCCATTTACAGGTGGTGTATGGCACATTCAGCTGGAAGAGCTTGTCCTGAAGCAGGGCAGGGATGATGGTGTTGAAGGCAGAGCTGAAGTCCACAAACAGGATCCTGGCGTAGGATGCTGGGGCTTCCAGATGCTGTAGGGTGAAGTGGAGGGCCATGTTAACTGCATCGTCCACAGACCTGTTGGCTCTGTAGGCAAACTGAAGGGGGTCCAGGAGAGGGTCTGTGATGGCTTTGAGGTGTGCCAGGACCAGGCACTCAAAAGACTTCATTACCACAGATGTAAGGGCGACCGGTCTGGAATCATTTAGTCCTGTTGGCCTTAGCTTTTTGGGCACAGGGATGATGGTGGAGGACTTGAGACAGGCTGGTACATGGCATGTCTTTAGGGAGGTGTTAAAGATGTTGGTGAACACCGGAGACAGCTGGTCAGCGCAGTGCCTGAGGGTGGCTGGAGAGACAGAGTCCGGCCTGGCTGCTTTGCGTGGATTCTGCCTCTTGAAAAGTCTATTAACTTCTCCCTCCTGAAAGGAGATAGTCGTCTCTGTAGTATTGGTGGGGGATGGGGCCTCTTGGTCGGAAGGGGTGGTTCAGGACAGTCCGATTGTCTTTCAAATCTACAGTAGAACTCGTTCAGGTCGTTGGCTAGGCGGGAGTCGTTAGTGGTGTGGGGGGCTCTGGGTTTGTAGTTGGTGATCTGCCTGAGCCCTCTCCAGACAGAAGCAGCGTCGTTTGTAGAGAACTGGTGTTTTAGTCTCTCTGAGTACAGTCGTTTAGCCTCTCTCACCGCTTTGCTAAACCTGTTCTTCGACTCCTTGAATCTGTCTCTATCTCCACTCCTAAACGCTTCCTCCTTCTCCAACCTCAACCTTCTGAGCTTTGCTGAGAACCAGGGCTTATTGTTGTTAAAGTTCACCCTGGTACGTGTTGGGATACAGCAGTCCTCACAGAAGCTGATGTAGGACGTCACAGCCTCTGTGAGTTCATCCAGACTATTGGTAGCAGTCGTGAACATATCCCAGTCAGTACAGTCTAAGCACGCCCGCAAATCTTCCACAGCCTCACTGGTCCACTGTTTAGATGTCCTCACAGCAGGTTTACAGAGTTTTAGTTTCTGCCTGTATGCAGGAATCAGGTGTACCAAATGTGTATTTTTCCGCTAAAAAACACAAACATTAATAAAGAATTAAAGCTTTCGTGACTGCATAAATTACTCATTGGTTTTTTCGGTAAAGTCACGTATGTAGAAATACCATAAAATTATATTAAATGGGAGGGCCTGCCCCTCTCCCCTCTTCTGCTGCTGCCATGCCCCTTGATTTCTTCCCCCCACCTCTCCTGCTTATTTTAAGCCTCTGTCTGTTCATCCCTCCGGCCCTTTGTCTTGCTTCTCTGTCCGTCTTTCCTCTTCTTACCTCTTGTGTCCCTGTATATGTATTTCTGCTATCTTGTACCTCGTATTTGTTCACTCTGTCTATGCTGGTGTGTTCAACCCATAGGATGAACACGAAATTTAGCACTCTTCTGAAATTCGTGGTCTGCCAGGCAAGTGTCTAACTGTGTCGTTGGCCTGACTGGTTTTGCATCACGTAAATTTTTCCTAGGTTTGTTGAATTCTTGTCTCTCATCTTCTTGTATTTACCTCCGTGCAGTTTAACGCTCTCTATGTGTTGCGTTGATGTCACCCTATGTGCTATTTATTTTTTACACCTGATGAAGATCGCTTGTGTTGCGGTCAAAACGTCATGATTGATTTATTTTAATATAATTTTATGGTATTTCTACATACGTGACTTTACCGAACAAACATTATTTTCGACTTGATTCAACTTCGTATATTTAAAGACGTACCCATCGGAAACATCTCAATATAAAGATTCCGTTAATTTTTTTAGAAAGAACAAACATAAATGAACTTAAACGTTTATTAGGAGAAGTTCCTATCTTTTACCGTTTTCAAATGATTCATATTTGAACGTCATAATTTTTTTTTCGTTCAAACCATCTTTCATCCGAAATATCTAAAAAACCTATCAAATATAGAAAAATAGTTCTCTATCTTGATTTGAAGCTTTCGTGACTGCAGGAATCCATACTCTGGTTCTTTCGGTAAAGTCACGTAGATCGAAAGAATAATAAAACAATAATAAAACACGACGTTGTGGCTATATAAAGCCACAACAGCAGATTATTTTATTCTCACCTGAAGACGGACGCTTGTGTTGCGACCGAAACGTCGTGTTTTCTTTTACTTGATTATTTTTTTTATCTACGTGACTTTACCGAAAGAACCAGAGAGTAATAGTTATCTATTTAATTGTAATTGCTGTTTAACACTTTATCAAACTAAAAAACCCTGCAATCTTATATTTTGCACGGTTTCTGAATGACACGCACAAACATGTTTATTGGCACTCAACATCGAGATTCGGGGCCTTAAAATGAAAAATCTCTTACTTTCAGATTTTTCTTATTGTTTGTTTCTAAAAGCTACATCTGTATCAAATGTCAGCTTTCTACCATGCCGGGAAGTACCCTGGAGGTTTTTGAGCCATACGTGTATTTATATAGATATACTGGAGGAATCCGATGGGCTACAAAGCTCTTTTTTACAGATGTCCAGTAAGGGCAGGTCATAACGTTACACCAACAAACAGTACAAAAAATATAATTTATGACAGCCTATAAAAAATAACTTTTGGGATAAGTGCAATGATACATGATGATCGATCAGAGACAATCACCCGATATGCTCCCGATCTTCTCAGATCTCGGAAGCAAGGCAATGATTCGGCCTGGATAGTGATTGAATGGGTCACCACCGTGCATAACAAATTAAATAAGCATCCAATACGCCTCCTTCCCGTATATATTTAGAAATTATGGTTATTATTGTTATTAAGTTTGTCGACTCAGGAAAGCCTCACTAAGTTTTCACGACTCTTTTTGAGGGTACTTTCAAGTTTTCGCAGTAGGGGGCGATGATTGCTACGGGCAGTTAATTATGTTCCGAATGAGCGCGTGTACCTTTTAAAATCTGGCAAATTCGGACCATCTTCTGCTTTTGTATGGATAAATAGCAGCAGATTAAAGATGCCATTTTAGATGTATTATCCACTCAACTAACTTTTCTGAAGCAGAGTGGATCTCGTCCATTCCTCCTTTAAAGGAGTGACGTTTACGATGCGGTCGATGGGTTTGGGATTCGTGGCCGCACTTGGCAGACCGCCGAATTTTTGAAGCGCCGTTGAGTGCATCAGGTGGCCTCATCGTCCATGCCCCTTGTTCTGATTCGGTTGATGGCCGACCATTGGTGGCGTGAGAAGTTGAAACCCGGGAGGTTCGACTGTAGGGTCCTCTATGAGATGTTTACTTTTGACGTCGGCCGCAGTTCAGAATTCCATAAGAGGGGTTTTTGGGGTTAGATCGCGTAAATATGTGTTTCGTTAAAACCCGCCGCCACCCGACACAGCCAACTAGTAAGAGTTGTCACGTAAACATAACATGCCAATTCGTCACTAGTACAACACACCGGTGTGTTGGACAGCCAAGCCACAACATTTACAATCTGAGTACGACGTTTCGCCAGTAATTACAACTAGCTTCATCAGGCGACAACCAGAT